TTTTTTTTTTTTTTTTTTTTTTTTTTTTTTTTTTTTTTTTTCATAGGTTCCATGAGAAACTTACTTGAATATGTTGCTTCCTTTAAAAATTCAAAACAAAATCTTTGCAAATTACTCTTGTTATTGTTACCATTAACAACAATCGTATTACGATTTGTGTGTGATGGCGGCGGTGACGGTGATGGCGGCGGTCGTTTTTAAGTTTTCCTTCAGTTTCATGCGAGTCTCTGAGTCAGTAGTAACCACGTATGTGGAATCATACGATAACTGTGTGTCCACAATTTACTACCGAGTCTGAAAAGACAATATACAACAAACAAAAATTTTTTTTTTTCTGCTTCTTTTCGTTTTTGTCTTTTTGGAAAAACGAATTTATTGAATATGGGTTTGCTTCTACGGTATGAAAAATCGTAATGCGGTTACACTTTGTTGTCGTTGATGATGGTAATGGCGGTGAATTGTGGAAGAATTTCGTTGTTGCTATTTTTTTATTTTTATTTTTTTTTTATTCTTTATATCACAAATGAAATGCGAGTATGAGAAAACAATTTTAGTATTTTTTTTTTTTTTTTTTTTTTTTTTTGTTAGTTTTGTGGTCTTTGAACACACGACTACATGGCAAATATGGTGGGTATGTGAAAAATTTTAACAGATAACCAACATAATTAACGTCATAACATGATGGTGTTAATTGGTTAAGAAAACATTGAATGGAAAAGAAAAACAGGTAGAACCTGTCAATAATATAAACTTTAACTTAACATATTGTGTGTGTGTGTATATATATATATCTATAACGTAACGAAGTACGTATGAATAAAGTTATAAAAGATTGTTCAATACTTTTGTTCATTTTTTTGGAATCAAATTTTTGTTAAGCGGAATTTGACCTGATTTTAGTTGCTGTACATTAATTAATTACTGACACTTTTGAAAATGTGAAACAAAGTTTTCTTCTTTTTTTTTTCCAATGGGTTTTCTGCATTCTCTATCGCAAGCTACACTTGGAAGGGTTTTTATAAAATGTTTGTTTTTATTTTGAAGTAGCGCGCCCTAGCTGTGTTTGCATCTTTTACTTATTAAAGCAACATATTGGAGTAGGGAAAGGAAACGAATAATTTTGTAAATAACTTATCCGCTTAAAATTTTGAAAGCAATAATGACATAAAGTGGACTTAATCTTGTTTATTCTTCGAATTTTATTTGATTGTTTTACATCACGCTCGTAATTTATATATTAATGTGAATGAACAAAAAACAACAACAACAACAACAAAAAAAAACAAGTAAGAAAGTTATATTCGGCCGGGATCGAATCTCGCATACCTACCACTATGCTTTTCGCATTCTACTCTTCAAATTCTTTTATTTGATACCCATATCGCTGGTATTCTTGACAAAAAAATTAATTATCCTCTCTGCCGTATTCATGTTAGAATTAATCCATTTTTAACTGCCTAATATATCTTCATTTGCGGAATGTACAAAATAATTTTAAACACTTCGTCTTGTTTGCGTTATGATAAATAAGCATAAAACGTCAAAAGACTGACAAAAAAAATAAATAAAATTTAATTACTCGCGACTTTATGTGGGTAATGCAGATTGGTTCCATTTTTGGACCTAGAGAGTAAAGTGTTTCGCAAACATAAATGTGGGAATTTTAGCCCCTCTAATTTTTATACGAGAGAAACGAGAAGAAACCCACAAATTTTTGTTAAGAAAAACGGAGTAGCGTTCAGTTTATGCCCCACTACGGGCCTTTGCTCTCACCAATTTGCCACCAAATTTGAAATCGATATTTTCATTTTTGCGACCAGCAAAGTGCCAACAACAACCACCGCACAGACACATAGACGGACAGACATGGCTAAATCAACTCGGGATTTCCAGCTGATCAAGAATATGTATACTGTATAGGGTTTCTGAAGCTGAAAAAAAAAACGCTTTGAAAATGAATAAACTCCCCAATCTTACAGTGATGGGTATAAAAACAAACTCTTGAATCGATAGAAATTAAAAAATCTCGAATATTTGTAAGAGCCATGTGAGAATGCGGGTCGTCGACACATCTACAATTACAAAAAATATTCTATTTCAAATGAGTGGCATCCGGGTCGCGGATCAAACCGTTTATATTATCCATTTGTTGCTTTTCATACAGACGATCCAAGTACGGAGAGAAAAACTAATCTGGGACGTGATGGAGAGCAATATAAATGTTCAATCCATAAACGAGCATAGCTTTCTTACTTGGTTTTTGATATCGCAACAGTTGCTAAATCAAATTCGGATCTATTTTAAAAACCAAAAAAAAAAGAAAAAAAAACAATAAAAAAAAATCATTGAACACTAATTAGTGGTTGACACTCGGCGTACGTTTTCCGGGTTGACTTAATTGAAAGACAGTTTTGTTTGCATTCGATTGTTGTTATCAATCAACTTTAAAAAAAAAAAAAACTTTTGGATTTTTTTATTTTTATTTTTTTTTATCAAAAATAATTGGCCTTCTAGTGACAAAACATAAACAATACAAATAAATCTTTACGGCATAACCTTGTGCATAATATGAACTATTGAAGGTATTTCACACCGACTACTTCAATTTCACATGTTTATATTTTTCTTTGAAATCATTCCATATATGTGTAAAGATTTTTCGCTTTGAAATTCTTCAGAGAGTATTCATTTAGCTTATCTAAGTCAATTTTTTTTATTTTTTTAAGTGAACAATTCCTCATCCGTACGCATCAGTGATCCGAAAAGATCTACATAACTATTGGTTGATATCCATTTTACGTCGATGATCTGTCATTGGCACGAATCAAGTTGAAAAACTGATGATAAGCTGCTAATTCTTGATTATCGTAATTAAAAGCTCGACTAAATCCTAAGCAGGGAAATTACTGCGAAGCGTAGCGATTTTGTTTTTTCTTTATTGGTTCAAGACTTTCATTACTTGAATTCCCTAGAATAGCTGAAAATAAATGATTTCTTTGCGATTTTCGCCTTCTTCGCAAGCGTTTGGATAAGAAGTGCCTGTGTCAAATGAATACATTTCGGGAAGTTGCATCCTCATGTCTTACTTTTTAATTTGTAATACACTCACAAATATCTGATGTAACTGATTGGGTTCATTCAAAAAAAGCACTTCTAAACAAGTGTAATGTCAGTTAGGTTTCGTTCAGATAAGCGTTAAGTAGATAGATATAACGGCGCCGAGAGCGTTTTGAAAGCTTGCAATGCTTTAGGATGATGTTTCGGCTCATGAATTATATATTTTTCTGCCAATTCCTTCGCCATCGCGCATGTGCCGTTGACAGGTACCCATAAAAAAATGGAATTTTCGAGCATAAAATCGTCGAGATTATTTGAATATGGAAGGGCATTTTTATGTTGCTCGAAACACAGACTAATGAAAAAATAAAAAATAAGTAAAATTGTATTGGGTTGTGACCGAATCTTTTCTACCCATCACTGTTATTTTAGGAGAGACTGAAGAACTAATTTTTCATATTTTATAATATTGGATGGGCGAGGCTGGTTTTTTCTGTTCGGATGTGTTCAGAGTAAAAGTATGTTTCGCATTTTATGAGCTACAAGCAAACAACACGGAAATCAAATGTGATCACACTTTTTACTGCATAGGCATATGGGTATTGTTGGCTTCTCCTTTGAACGGTTTAAGTCATTTTCGAAATCTTTTGCGTATTTGTAGGCGACGCATTCATTGCTGCGAACAGGAGAATATTCAACACAGATACTACACGGTCGGTCAGACGGACAGACGGACAGATGAACAGAGGAATATGCTTAGGTGCATTGCGAATTTAAAACTGGCCAAGATTTCGAAGCTCGTTTCGTGCGTGGATATTCGTTAACATTTTTGTCCAGGTACTGCAGCATCGCCCATAGAAGATACGTTTAAATTTTTGTACATTTAACGGCTATAGTTTATGAATAATGAGCTGGAAATCAATTTCTTATTACCGTTGAAAAACAGAGGTGGCTTCAATGTACGTAATATTGTAGGTGTGTTCCCGGACCAAGTTAGCCCATTTTCACTATCAACCTGCGTGCAAGAACTTGCAATGTTTCTGTCAAAGTTGAGGTCGATTAATTCATTGTTGCAGTCAGAAGCGCCTCTACAATAGGCATTACACAGATGGACGTACAATTAAACGGACAGACTGATACGCTTAAATCGATTTAGAAATTGATGCTGATCAGGAGAGGATAGACGTTGTACTAAAGATATTCGTCTCTAGCCGAACATAATATTTTTATTGCTTTCACATTATTTGTGTATATGTGTTTATAAACATAGTTTTTATTGTGGATGAAACTTTCGTGCAAATCTGTCATCTTGTCATTGTTCTAATCGGACAAAGGAACAACATTACAACAACTGGCGATCCTTTGCAAAGCTTAAAATGTTTAACTTATTCGTACTTTGGATTCACTTATATTTCTGTTATTTTTCACATATTTTGCTATACTCCTTCTCAATCTTGTTCTTGACTCCTCCTGTCCTTAGCGTTTCACCGACACTTTAGCACATTTAGCACGTTTTTTACTTCTAAGGCCAAACATAATAAAGTTAAAGCTTTTTTAACATTTCTATTGTTTTACTGCAGTTCCTGTGTTGTCGTAAAATTCCGTCATTGTCCGGTATACCGATATTATTCTATTCTTCTCTGGGACTATGCAGCAGCAAAATTGCCGCGTATCTGCAAATAATTTTCATCTAGTAAATGCTAAAATTGCTCAGTTTGGCAGCTAGTAATTATAGCAATTTACACTACGGTGACACATATGTGAAACACCAAATCAATTTAATATGATATGATATTTGATTTCAGCAACCAAAACTGTTTAATTTTCCTGTCAGCTGTATACAGTATTAGCAAAGGCACGCTTGCATGCCTCCTTATTGTTGAGGGGATAGATAGGCTTACATATGCCGAGCGAGGATATAACATCGTTTTGGGAATTTGCTATATTTGCTTTTCTCCGTTGACACAAATCTTGCATGTATGTAACCTTTTGTGCCTGCCTACCAAAATGAAAAGTTTGCAAAATTTCCACACACTTGCATATACCGAAATCGTCTATTTATGGGCGACAAATTGAAATTGTCTGAGTTGTCGGCGACGAGCTGTTGGATGATTCAAGGGCTTTAAAACTTTTTAAAGAGTTTCGCTTTCTATCCTACACCACTCGCGGTTCAAGAGTATATTAAGTTTGTTCGAATCTATGCTTCAACTTTCATTCCAAAACCAGACGAAAAGAAG